CATTTGCATCACATCTCCAAGAGTTGCATAAGGAAATTAACAAAAATTGAACATAGCAATGTTAAATATAAAATTCATGCAGATCTCAAGAAACGATTCAAAGAATTTGAAGTTGGAGACTTTGTAATGGTTCAGATTCATCCGGAGCGGTTCCCACAAGGGGCCGTTAAAAAGTTACATGCAAGAAGCACAGGACCTATCAAAATAACTTCAAAAATAAATAGTAATGCTTTTGTGCTAGACCTTCCTGAAGGTTTTAACATTAATCCTACGTTTAACATTGAAGATCTGGTAGCCTTTGTGGGTCCTGAGTTTAACCCCTCCAACCCACTAAACAAAGAGCCTTGTGTGAATCCACCTGGTGAGAACCCTAGCCTACCTCCACTCCCAAACATCCCTATCTTAACCCCTGCGAAGAAGGTTGAAGCGATACTTGGTGATGAGATTATTTCCACTAGAGACGGTGGCTGCCGAAGGTATCTAGTTCAATGGACAAGGATACCAGAGATGGAGAACGTATGGATTGACCGCGGAGAGCTGCAGCGATTGGATCCTGATCTGCCGGAGTGGTACGAGAGTTCTAGAGATGCTGACTTGACGGGGTCGAGTTTTCTCCCACCCGGGGAGAATGATGAGGACATCGTTCAAAGATTCAGACACGTGTACCGGCAACGAAATCATAGATCGACGACTACGATTCAACATCTCTACTTCTGATGCATTATGTTTTATTTAGTTTTGTTATTTTTCGAATTTACCCTTATGGAGAAGTGTTTTATTATTGTAGCCCAGAGGGCAATTGTGTACTTTTCTTTTTTCATGTTTGAGACATATATATAGTGGTCTTATGTGTTGTAATAGGATGATGAATGATTAAATGAATTTTTTTTTGTCTTCTTCTTGTGAGTGCACTAGAGAGAAGGGAGAGTCCAATGTGATACCCACCAGTCACCGGAAGAGTCCGTGGCTCGTGGTCTTCTTTTACGTTCTCTATACTATCATCATTATCACCCACCGACTTCTCTTCATTCTTCCACCTTCATCCTGCAACCAAAATACCTCCCCTTGATCACGCCTAATTCTCCTTCCAAAACCCCACCCGCCGGCCTAGCCCTTGGCCACCTCACCCGACACCAAGCCCACCTCCTCCCTCCTTGACCGCCGGCCCCATCCTTATCCCAAGTCATTATGATGATTTCAATCATCATAATGACTCCCTAAATTGGCCTTAACAATAAAGGAAGGAGTTAGAAAATTTTGAAATTCTAAAACTTTCCATATTTACAAAATCCTAAATAAGGAAAATTTTTAAATTTGAATCCAATCTAAATTTAATTTAGAGAGGATTTATTATTTTCCCTCTTAATTTGTCATAGCTTGTTTGGAAAGTACTTAACTCCTCAACAATCCCCTCACCCCTCTCTCTTGATGTTGCCGGCCCCATCAATGGGGATTTTCCCCTTTGCTTCCTAATGAGGCCCCATCCCTATTTAATTTGAATTCAAATTTCAAATTAAATCCCTCCAATTTTACTTAAAATCTAAAATTAATTTTAGATTTGGATTAAAACTTCCCCCCTCTTCAACCTAACCTACGTCCTCTCATCTAAGCTGCCCCTCTCTTCTCACCACCTTTGGCCGCCCCCTCCACTTGTGCCTTCCCCCTTGAGAAACCCTATTTTGCTCATGAAATTTGAAGCCAAGAGAAGAAGACAAACTCCTCTCTCAATCTCATCTTGGTGCATGACCGATCCTGAGATCGGCCACGGATTTGTTTTCGACGGGCAATGACGGACGGATATTCTTGGATCCCCATTCTTTGACGTGTACTTTGGCAACGACGAGACTGTCGACGAATACATCGACCGCATCCCATACCAACTAACACTATCAATCGAGGAGCACATTCGTCCGAGCCGTTGGATAATCGTCGGTCATCCACAACTTCCTCCACCATTGGCTACCTTTCCATCAATGAAGGTCCTCGGTACCATCTTCCTAGTGGTAATCTCTTTCCTCGTATGGTTCACCCTCCTCCGCTAAAGCCTAAGAGTGATTGAGTGAGAAGGAGCTCATTGTGACTATATCTTGATGTTACGCCATGGATTCTTGTTTATTTGCTATTAACATTACTATCTTGTTTTCATAGTTATTGTGATTGTCTCGCTAACCTACTTGGAACTTTTGCTATCACTTAATTTCTTAATGAAAATTCTACGAATTTGACTTGAATGAAACATAAGTTATTAACTAGCAAAGTTCATGTTCAATATTTATTATTGAAGCCAAAGCAACTCTTGTCGCATGTATGTTTCACGTCAGTAAGGATGTCACAGTTGATGCATTATTTAAACACTTCAATTACATAAACGCACCTCAAACCGAAAAAAAAACTTACAAATTGATAGAAATAAGCAATTTTGGATGCATTGAAGCAAAAAATATCAAGCCATATGAAGCATGACAAATCACATCAATTATTTACTCATGCCTACATGGCTACACGTGAATAAAAGATAAATATAACAACATGAGAAATCCTCCTTTAAGAAAAACAACCATTAAGGGAACGCAGCTTGCACACTTTTGGGCTGTTTGGTAACAAGTAGGATTTAACTTTAGTAATATTTGATAAATCCCATAAATTCAAATTTAGTAAATTCTAAGCATGTTAAATCATAAAAATTATTTGGCAAGATAGTTTTTAAATTCTATTAAATACTATGAAATTGTTTGGCAATGTAATATAAGATTTAAGACAGTTGATTCATTTAAAAATTAAATTTAATGTATTTTGAGTTTAATTTGTGTGTGTTGCACCGATACACCGATACACGGACACGCCTCCGATACTCCACCGATACGCCTAACTCGAGCTACTCAGCAACCAATTCATGAGCTCGTACTCAAGTCGAGCTCAAGCTCGGCTTGTGGTGGTAAAAATGGGCTCGCGAGCAGCTTGTGAGATCCCGGCTTCATTGACAAAGAGGAAGATCATGTGTGTCAACTATTTTGCACCGATACACCTATTTATGAAGGCGTGCTGTATCCGATACACCGATACACGGACACGCCTCCGATACTCCACTGATACATGTTGGATACGCCAAAGACGCATCCAATTAAAATATTATTTAATTTCAAAAGGACGCGCGTATCTGATACACGTATCCATTGAAAAACAAAAAGAAATCCGCAAAAAAAAAGATGCGTCATATTTACTTCCGCGGATGCGAGCAAAGTTCTCTCAATTTTGAGATGGATTTGAGTCTCTTGATGATATGAGAATATTAGATATTATTAATCTTTCACGTGATGAACCTTAATTAAAAGCTATGATATTTATTGAAAATGATATAGAACTTCAAAGACAAACCACTGAAGAAGCTAATCATATCATTCCTTCTATTGGATAGTTGAAACTTCATGTGCTAGACAATTTATGTTTATGCTTTTGTTGTTGTACTAGACATTTAGGGCTTACTTATATTTTGATATTATAAGCTACAAGGCTACAAATGACGTTGTTGTCATTTTTTTGTAATTTCAAATATTATGTTTTGATTGCTTTCTTAATTTTTATGTATGATTTATAAATTATGATGTCGTGTCCGCGTCGTACCCGTATCCTGTATTTTTAAGAATTGACGTGTCCCGTATCCGTATCGTGTCGTATCCGTATCGCCGTATTCGTATCGGTGCAACATACTGTTAAGTATGAATTACTAATTAATTTTAATTTTAATTACTGTCAATAAGTTATAATGATTAATAATAAAATTAAAGCTTGCTTACTTATCAAATAATTTAATTGATAGTTTAATTACATATTATAATACTAATTATCAAACTACTTATTTAAGCATTAAGTTAAGAAGTATTTTATATCTAATTATATTGATAATTACCTAATTAATTAGTTTTTTTTTTAAATAACTATTTAACTAGTACTCCTACAAATGATTTTATTAATTATTTAAGCATTATTTAATTAGATTTAACTATTAATAATACTATTAATTAATTCATTAAGCACTTAAATATTCTACTACTAATTATATATTTAATTATTATTTACAATGTTTAATATATAATTAATTATTCAATTTCAAATTCTAAATCATAAGCTAGTTATATTATTTTTAATTGTTATTAGACTACTAATTATTTAATTAAGTTCAATTAGATTATTTAATTACAATACTAATTCTACTACCAATTATTCAATTAATGATTAATATTTTAAATTATATTAATTATGCTAAATTAGATTAATTAGATGGAGCCAGTCGAGGTTTGCTTTTCATCTCATGTTGCTTTTTCTCATCGTTGTTTCTTCGTTGTAGCCTAATGTGCTTTGCGTGAAACAATGTGTAGAAAGAGTTGCTAAAGAAGCTTTTCCGCCGTCTCCTTCGACAATGTCAAATCGGAAGTCATGTCGGGAGCTCGCTGGCTGTGAAGGTAACCATCTTTGCCTCCTCCTTTAAGACGAGAGCTCGCTTGTTCACATCAGGCGAACTTTGCAAATCCGTAAATCCAATTAAATCCACCTAACGACGACGGGATTTTGTACATCCCAGATTTACCCTGTAAATTCGTAAATCCTGAATCATTCAGATTTACTGCACCCTCTCAAACCGTTTGGTAGGATCCCGCTACCAAACAGCTCCTTTATGTCATCATACTGAAACGACAATGCTTCCAGTGCAGCAACATCGTTCACCATTACATTATTATTATAATCAATATTTTAAATATTAAATACAACAATGCAATTGCAGTGTCTCCTACACATAAACATCCACCCCTTCAAAGATACACATAAAGAAATCTAGGTAACATATATTAAAAGCTGGATTAACTAGCTCTTAGGAGAAACTGCCTAATATAAATAAAAAAAACAAAACCAGAACGTTATCCATTCTGATCCACACAATAAGCCTTGCATGAGGACAATTATTCGTCTAACAACATAATTTGGAAAATCATTGGGCTACTTACATGAAGAATGCCCGCTAGGAAAACTCTTGTGCCCTTCCTTTATAACACTTTTCTCTCCATGACATATAACACTAGTGGTGAAGTCATCATATAGCTGGATAAAAACATTTTAGCACCTTGGTTAGCTACCACATTCTGAATGAGTAAATGAAACTGGTACTAGTGAAGGAGTAAAAAGTGTGAATAAGGCACCCACATCATGGCCATCAGGAAAACAACGCCAAAAGAAATCTGGTCGTGGCCGACCAACAGCATCCTTGATTGCATCAGTTAGGACGGCAGTAATAAGCACAGAAAACAGGAGACCTGCTAGCAAGTGTCATTTGTTAAACTCAATACTAAAATGAACTTGCTAAAAATTTTTGAAACAAAAAGAGATAAGTAGCCGTTATGTTACCTAATATTGCATTGTGCAGATCATAGACATTCCGCTTTTTGAAGTATATACTAATGACAATAAAAGCCGGTAAAACTACTCCAATCAACTGTTAGATTAAAATTATTAAGTGCAGAAAAAACTCAATAAAATGATTTATAAGTTGATCAAAGTATAAGACAGGTTAGAATGTACCGGAACAGCCCAAACTGGTACTGTGTTGCTCTTCAACGGATATCTCAAATCTGTCATCATATCTTTTCCCACAAAGCGATGGAAAGGTTCTATAATATTCAATATGACATCGATAATTACAAGAAGTAACAGTATGATCCAGTCATGAACGTGAAATCTTGCTAGTTTGGTTCCGTGGGATCTTATAGTGTGAGTCTCAAGTTGAATATCTGGCATTGTCACCTAGTTGATGCAACAACAACAACAACAACATCATCATCAAGCATTTGTCCCACTATGTGGGGTCGGCTATCTAGTTGATGCAAAAACAAACAAAATAACAGGACAAAAAAAAAAAACCATTGAAGCAATATTTATGTCACAAGCAGGGAAAATTATTACGTGCGGCGTCCGGATTTGTCTGGAAATGAATCCGGACGCGCCACGTCACCCGGACCCTGGTGCATCCGGGTGACGTGGCGTGCAGACTAGGAATGAAGCAATCACGACATTAAGAAAGTAGTTAATGCTGTCTCCATGAAGAAGAATTTAAGCAGCATAAATCAATAGATGGTTTCAGCAGCAGCTAGAGTGCACCTTTTAATCACAAATTATCCTGCCAGAAGAGTGTCCTTAATAAGCCCACGACAGTCAGATAGCCCTCCAATTAGTTGAATTTCAGATCAGAAATTGCAAAAAAAAAAGGCAAAAACTATTATTGAGTTGTTTATTTTGGTGTAAAAACTTTTTTGTGCTAATATGAATTTTTGCTACCTTAGTTGCCATTATTCTGTGTGTATGCTAGAAGGAACTCACTGTTTTGGGGTTAATGTCACTTTTTAAACACCTTATTTTTTAAACGGGTGACACAACTAACCTCCTATTATTATGAAAAATATACTGACCTAAAAAGGGAGATAGCTGAATTACTATGAAAACCTAACTGTTCGGAGGAATAAATATTAAAAATTTAAACAGGGTGATGAAATTAGAAAATAAACAGAAAGGTTGAGTACTGTTGCATCCTGGAACATTTTTGGCTGTAGAGAGAGATATAGTTTAGCGTCGTAGCTTTGCACGAAGATCCAACACACAAATAGATAATAGAGTAGAGGTGTAACATTCATGAGAGAGACACCAAGATTTTAACGTGGAAAATCCTAAAAAATGTAAAAATCACAGGGCTTGGCCCAATTTGAATGAATCCACTGGTATTGATAGTTGAGTACAAATGAGGCATTTCCTTGGGGGGAAGGTTTTATGTAACAAATATGCATTGTATATAGCTCGTTACATGGTAGCTGTTATTAGGGTGTTGACATGTCTGTTTAGTCAATAGGACTGTATTTGGGTGAGCGATGTCTGAAAGATCATAGTCGGCGGGCGACAACGGTCGAAGTGAACCGTAATCAGCAGATAACGGTGGTAGAAGGGATCATATAGTTGACAAGTGACGGTGGTCAGAAGAACTGTAGGATCGTAGTTGGCTGCCGCTGGTAGTCGGAATGAATTGTAGTCGGCGGGCAACAGTGGTAGAAGTTGACCGAAGTCGACGGGCGACGGTGGTCAGAAAGACCAAAGTCGGAGGGTGACGGAGGTCACAATGGATAGTAGTCAGCAGAGGACGGTGGTTAAAGTAGACCGTAGTCGGCATTCGACAGTGGTCGAAAGGACCATAGTCAGGTGATGATCGTCGGAGGGACTATAATTGGGCGACGGTCGGTGACTGGGTGGAAGTAAAACAAAGGTTAGTGGTCGGGCGAAAGTTCAGAGACGGTCGGTGGTCAAGGAAGAGTCTGGTGATGAGAGAGCTCCAAGATTTATCTTTCTCTCTTCTCTTCTTTCTCTTGCTTCCTCCCTCACTTCAGTGAAAAATAAAGGGTTTATTTATAGTTTTTTGTGAGTGGCATAGCTAGTAAATAGGGATAAAATCAAGGGCATGTTGGGAGTGTTTCAAATGGACAAATATCAACTCCCTTGATCATGAATCGTTTATCAAGAATTTGAGTGTCTTAATGATGTCAGAATTAGGCAATCTTGGGCCCATTGGATTCGTCTCGTCGAGTCACTCGATTCGACTATAAGCATGTCACATTTGGATATCATTTGGCTATCCAATTAATGATTTGAAGTTTCCAAACATGCTTCGGGCCCTCAATTTGGACCAATTTGGGTTTAGATTGGATCGATTTTGATGTCGCTGGGTTTATCTTTTCGAGACATTCAGTTTGACTATAAGTTTGTTGAAATCGGAGTTCGAATGGTTCCGAATTTAATTATGAAAGTTTTCAATTCATATTTGCATCGAGATTCGTGTCCGATCAAGATAATTTTTTGATGACATATCAAGTACAAAGGTAAAATGACTAGAAAGTATAATTATGGTGATCACAAAGAAAGTCTCATAAAGCCAAAATAAAATTCATTTGGAAAAGGGCCAAAAGGTGAATATGATGATGGTAGCTTAATTACAAACTAATCTTCTACACAAAGCACAATAAATTATTTACTTTCAACACTTCTTGGTTGGTTCTGCAAGCATGTGTGCTACTTTTTCAGTAAGCACCTTTTCATTCTCAGCACTGTGTGCATTAAAGGTTTAGGATTGTCCTCAAACATGGCATGATATGAAATGTAATGATAAGTTATGAGTTTTAGAGCCATAAGATTATAACTATATGACTAGGATACTCTAATAGATATGCAATCCAATAGTTATAGATCTAACAAATGGGGATTGAAGAAACCTTAGTTCACAAGTGATCACTATCCTAATTTTCAACTTCGTATGAAGAGAAATTCTTGATTTACCTCTCTTTTGAGGTTTAGTGGAATATTTAATATTAGCGGAAGCGTTGTCATCAATGGATCTCATTGAACCACAATTTATTTGCCCTATTTTTGTTATTTCTGATTCATTTGTTCTCTCATTTGTATTAGATTTTTACTTTAGGTTTTATGACTATCGTAACACCAATAAATGCTAATAGAGTTTTCTTGTTAAGTGTTGAATCAAAAATTTCTACTTCTTGCAAAAAAGTTGACTCATTTCAATAACATGGAAGTTCTAAATTAACGCTATCACAAAGTCCTAAATGGGAACTATCACTGTCCTAAATCGAAGCAACTATAAAGTGTTAAATAGAGGCTAATAGAATAATCTACAATGGAGGCTAGAATAGAAAAGTCTTCAGTGTTATTTAATATTAATATTAGAAGATAACTTGTTCATTATATAAATTCGTGTAATTATCACTAATAAAACATCCCACAATCATAAAATGAAAAGACTGAGAGAAAAGGAAGAGAAAAAGGGAAGGAAGGACGAAGTTTTCGTACTAGAGAAACAAAGAGAGAAAAAAGTAGCATCAATGTCTTAATCTCCATATGTAGCCCCAATCTTCACAACAGGTGGCATTTTCTCGCAATCTTTAATACAAACAAAGTGATATCTTTTAAAATCAACTAAGCTTTTGGCCTAACTATATCATATAGCATTATAGCCATTATATTGCCAAAAAATTTGATAAGATCAACAATCAATTGGACAGACCCTTCAAAACTAAAAATCTAAAGAATCTACTTGATAGATCTTCCTTCAACAAATTTTCAATCCGCAATACATCCATCAAATTAAGTCCATGGCTGTAGAAGAATATAGGAGTGGGCAACCAACTTTTATCATCAATTATGCATCTTCTCGAACTTGGGGCTGTTTGGCTACGAGCAGGATTTAATTCAAGAAGGCTTTAGTAAATCCAGTTGTTCAAATTTAATCAATCCTGGAGGCCTGGAATCTTGAAATTTTGTTTTTGACATTATACATGTTATATCTAGTTAAATTCTAGTCAAATATTTGACATATATTTCCAAGATTTATGATTTAAATGATAGAGAAGAAGAGAAATGATTAGACGTGGTGTAAATCCAAAATCCGAATCCTATTTCCTCTAGGATTGGGAAAATTATTAGGTCCGGTCACCTGACAGAGATATATATCCGGAATTCTCACTGTCTACAGTAAAAACCAAGTCAAATCACAGTCAAAGCGTAGTTGTTACAGTAACTATGCTTTGATCGCATTTTACTGTAAATAGAGAAAAATCTGGATGTATTTCTTTATCAGGTGACCGGACCTAATAATTTGCCCTAGGATTGAGTTAGTCCAGGAATTAGCTTAAAATGGGAGGGAAATGGGGTATAAAACAGTAGTAAGATTTATGTGGCTTCATCCCGGAACTATAACCAGGGAAAGGTTATAGCGACCACTCATAAAGAACAATCGAGTCCAGGAGACAAGCCTAGTTACATGGAGCAAAATCATTTTTACAATGCCTCATATAAGAAAACCTCATATTCTTAAAAAAAACAGTAAACCCTTCCATGAAAATCACACCAAATCATCTCACACGAGGGAAAACTCAACCCTGTTCCATAACCCTAGTCCCGATCAATTGCTCATGCCGTAGCACGGATTCGCTATTCACCAACGACTATTACCAAATTAAAAATCACATACCTCATCAAAACACAATAATCATTAAAACTTTAACTAAAAAGAGCGGAAAATCAGAGGTGAAGGAAGGGAAAGAACAAAGAATGAGTTCTAAGCATGCTTATTCAAAAAAAAAAAAAATGACGAGAGCTTTCTATTACCTTTGCCCTCTTTTGGGAATTGAGCAACGGATCTTCGACCTCCCTAGCGTTCAAAATGCTGGTGCCCTCGGCGAAATCCAGATAAAAAAAACCTCGAGAGACAGAGAGAAAGAGGAAGAAGAGCGCCACTCACTATAAGGAGCTACATATGTTCTGTTGCTGCTTCCATTTGAGAACACGGAAATGAGCTCCGGCAGTTTGAATTCGTGAACTGAAACCCTTCTCCCACCGCATATTTGACAGCAGAACCTCTTTTGCTCAATAAGAAAGAGCCACGCTGTACTCAACGTCATTACGCCAAGTGTTAAGCATTGGGGTGGATTTAACCTGTACAGAAGCTGGCACCGGGCAGGCCGGATCAAGCCGATGCCTCCTCGTGCTCACCGCCGCCCAGATGGTCCTCTCGTATTTTGCCGGCCGATGGTTGCTGGAAATACCGATAGTCTATTAATCGATGACTTGGTGACTGTTGCTGGAACCTGGGTGGCTTGATCCGATCCATGCGCGTGTGGACGATGAAGACGATGACTGTGTCGGCCAACCATCATTGATTAATTATAATTTGATGGATAATGCTATGATTACTAAATCAATCACAACAAGAGTTTGAACGCTTAAGAGTAACGGAAATGCAGCTAGTTGCCAATCAATAACGTTGGGAAACATTCCAACCTTAATGACGAAGAAGTCATGAAATTCTGCAGGACAAAGGTGATCGGACGCAATTTTTTAACGTGATGATAATTCATAGAAATCACTTGAAATTATAGAAATCACTTGAAATTGGGAAGAGATATATAATTTTTAAATATTTTTAATAATTTAAAGCTAAACGTATTGAATTCTAATATATGTTTAGTGTATTTCATATTAATAAATTTTAAATAAGCCAACACATGAGTTGATGAGTTTAGTCGTGAGTAGCTCAAGTTTAACTCATTGGCTCATCAGCTGATCAAGTTCGACTCGTGAGCTATTTATCAAGACAAACATAAATCAACTTACAAGTCAACATGGCTAGTCACCTAAATTTGGGTTGACAGGTACTGGATCTGCTCATTGATTCTAGAAACCAGATATAATATATATGATTTTAAAGCATTAAGCGCGTAGATGTATCTTGAAATTGATTATATAACTACATACAACTTTATTTTATGTTATTTACATATCTAATACTTAAAACATTAATATTACATGCATACCATCCATAGAATAAATTTGGGTGCATGGAATGAAATATTAAAGTTTATAAGATGATATGAATGGTAGAAATGAATTATATGAGTGATATATTTGATATTAAAGTTTTATATGGATAGTATGCATGTAATATTAATGTTTTAAATGTTAGATCTGTAAATAGAATGAAATAAAATGGTATGTATATAAATTTTCCTAAAAAAAATTTAACATAAAGAATAAGTAGTTGACAAACATTCTATATTGGGTTTGACAGAAATAAAAAATAGTTGTATTGAAGAGATAATTTAAGATTGTGGAAAACAAACTAAAAGTGATGTTGATATGTACAAAAGAGAAATGCATGGACACCAAATAATCGAAAAACCTGTATCTATGATGATAGTTATGTTGCTCCAAATTGCTTAGTTGACTTGTGGTAGTCATGAAGAACCGAGCCCAAAGTTTTCAAGCACTGTAAATTTGTTGTGCAATAAAAAATACAACATAAATAATAAATCACACAATAAACAATACAAAGAACATGACAATTTATGTGGTTCATCGAAGATACTTACGGAGGGTATGATGATTTTGTTATATTAGAGAACAAAATTGATTACAATAGGCTATGAAGCTCTCTCTTTTTCTCATGCATTTATTACAATAGCCCTCAAGTCCTTTTTAAATATTTGAAACAAACATAATAAGTGTTGCTTCTTGGAATATTTGTGGCGGTAGAGAAATATTAATTTGAATGTCTTAGCTTTGTACGAAGATTTAGCACGCATATAAATAAAAGAGAGTGTGTAGCATTTATAAGAAACAACAAGATTTTTACGTGAAAAATCCTGGAAAGGGAGAAAACCACGGGGTCTAGCCCAATTTGAATGAATCCACTAGTATTTGCACATGATTACAAATGAGGTCGTTCATTGGAGGGAAGGCATTTGGCTTGATATAACAAATATATATCATATATTCATATAGAATGCATTACAATGTGGAAATGAGAAGAATCAGTATTGATATGTTTGTTTGGTCGGCAGGACCATAGTCGGTGTCGAGGTTGGAAAGACTGCAGTCTGGTGATAGTAGTCGGTATGTGACAATGGTAAAAAAAGATCATTGTCTGGCGTCGGAGGTCAAAAGGACTGCAAAATGTCTGTGGAGGTTGAAAGGACCATAGTCGGCTAGCGACATTAGTTAGAAAGACAATTGTCTAGCGACGGATGTCGGAAGGACCGTAAGCAGCGGGCGATAGGGGCCAGAAAGACTGTTTTCTGGTGAAGGATGTCGGATGGATCATAGTTGGTTGGTGACGGAGGTCGGAAGTTCGGCATGAAGAAGAAGTAAGTTAAACGATGGACGGATGTCAGGCGTCAGATAGAAGTTCTACGGAAGTATGACGACCGATAGAAGTCCAATGACAGACGAAGGTCTGGTGACTGGCGGAAGTCTGGCGTCAGGTAGAAATCCAGCGACAGACGGAAGTCCGACGTCGGGTAGAAGTTAGACAAAAGTCTAGTGACGAACAGAAGTGTGATGATGGGCAGAAGTCCGACGAAAGTCCAACGACGGACATAAGTCCGATGATGGTCGAAAGTTAGATGTCGGGTAAAAGTCTGACGAAAGTCCGGCAAATGGCAGAAGTTCGGGGGTTAGCGGAAGTCTAGCATCGGGTAGAAGTCCGACGGAAGTCCGACGTTGGGTAGAAATTCGAAGAAAGTCCGGTGGCTGGTAGAAGTCAGGCGACTGGAGGAAATCATGATTTATGTAGAAATCTAGTGACTAACAGAAGTTCGGCGTCAAGTAGAAGTCCAGCGACGGGCAGAAGTCTGGTGTCGGGTAGAAATCCGGCGATGGGCAGAAGTCTGATGTAGGGTAAAAGTCCGAAGAAAGTCTGGCAATGAACATAAGTCTAGCGACTGGCTAAAGTTCGGCGTCGGGTAGAAGCCCGAAGGAAGTTTGGCTACTAGCGGAAGTTCAGTGTCATGTAGAAATCCGATGATGGGCGGAAGTCCTTCTGGTCCCAAGAGAACACTTCATTCTTTTCCTTCTTGGGCCTCCTTCCTCCCCTCTCCATGAGAAATGATTGGTCTATTTATAATTTTCCGAGAGTTGCATGACCAGTAAATAGGAGAAAGATCAACGATAAATTGGGAGTGATTTGAATGGACGGCTAATGTTGAATCCCTTAATCGTGGACCGTTTATTAGACATTTGAAAATCTTAATGATATCAAAATTTGACGATCTTGGGCTCATTGGATTTGCCTCGTGAAGCCGCTCGGTTAATTTCAACTTTTTTTTTTCAAATAATGAGTGTTTGGACACAAATTTAATTTGGTGAAACTCCAATTCAAATTATTAACAGTATTTTTTTAAATTTTTATCCACCGACATTCATATGGTTTTAATGTTTTATGGTAAATCAATTCCAAATATATTGGCAATTTCTATGCAAAGGAACTTCTGAGATCCAGCTATTAAATGTTTAAAAAATAATGATAAATTCTGCTCTTAAAGTTTCGTTAGGTACAGCTTTTTAGAATAGCTTTTAATATACAAAATTTTAATTTAATTTTTTTAACTAAAAAATTATTTTAATAAACATAATAAAGCTGTCTCGAACGAAGTCTAAATATGAAGAAGATAACGAATTAACGACGCACTTGATGCTGCATATCAGTTGACTTCCTATAATTTTTTAGAAATATTTTTCATTCTTACTAAAAAAATATTAAACATTCATTAACAGAAAACCTTTTTGTTCTTTAGAGCTAAGAATGAGAAGTTGGAGAAAGCCTGTAAACTTCCTATAACTCTTTATATTTTTAGAAATAGAAGTGATATAAAAAAAGAAATTTTAGATTCTGATTAAATTTTCATTTGGGACGACTTTTTTATTGTTTTTAAAGTAATTTTTTAGTACAAAGATTTCTTGAACAATATTTTTTTTTGCTAGAAAATTACTTTAGAAGGAAATAAAAAAGTTATCCCAAATAAAAAATAAATTACTATTTTAGTCAATTTTATAATTGTTATATTCTTATATTAAGATGAGTATAATTCATATAAATCAATCGAAATTTATATTATACCTTATACAACGTCAAAAAATTATCTTGATCGAGCACGAATCTCGAGGCAAAATCAAGTGGGAAACTTCCAAAACTAAAATTGGGAGTATCCGAACTCCGATTTCAGCAAACTTATAGTTGAACTGAACATCTCAGAATATGAACCCAACGACACCAAATTCGATTCAATCCGAGCCCAAATGGATCCAAATCAAAGACCCGAAGCACATTTGGAAGGTTCAAACCATGATTTGGATTACCAAACGGTTTCCAAACATGACATGCTTATAGTCGAATCGAGCGACTCGATGAGATGAATCAAACGAGCCCAATATCATAGAATTCCGACATCATCAAGGCCTTCAAATAGCTAGCAAACAATCCACAATCAAAGGATTCAATATCAGCCGTCCATCCAAACCACTCCAACTTGCCCATGATCCTCCACCTATTTAAGGGTCATGCCACTCCCAAAAATCTATAAATAGAGCCCCTTGTCCTCTTGGAGAGGGACCCCTGAAGCCTAAGAAATCAAGAGAGAGATCGAAGATCACTCTTACCTCCTTGCCTCCTCGACCACCGCCGGAGTTCTGCCGAACCACCGACAGACCACCGCCAGAGTTCTGTCAAACCATCGATGGACCACCGCCAGATTTCTGTCGAACCACCACCAGAGTTCTGCCTAACCATCGCCGGAGTTTTGTCGAATCATTGTCAGACCACCACTTGATGCCCTGTGCTCCGCCGGACCACCACCAGACGCCTTGTGCTGTGCGGGACCACCACCTGACTCCCTATGCTCCGCCGGACCACCACCTGACGCCATGTGCTCCGCCGGACCACCACCTGAAGCTCGGAGTTCTGCCAAACAACCACCTAAGGCCCGGGGTTTTGCCATACCACTACATGAAGCCCGAAGTTATGTCGGACCATCACATGATACATGGACTTCTATTGTACAGTTGATACTTGTAATCTGATCACACTTGGAGGCGAGTCAGCCCATTGTAACCAACTCAAGTTCTAGTTAATTCATTTTCAACTGTGTCAACCCCGTGGTTTTTCCCTTTTTCTAGGGCTTTCAACGTAAAAAATCTTGTGTTCTCTGTGTGTGAGCTGATATCCGTGCAACGCTAAGACGTAGTATTCCAACTCTATCGCCGCGTATAATCTAGCCCGCAACAATACCAATTTTGAATTTCATTCTAGTAAAAAATTTAACTAAAATATTTTAGGACATTTCTAATAAGTCAGGACTGGTTTATAAAAACACCAGCAAAATAACACGACAATATTTAATTTACAAAAAAAAAGCAAATTTCCATTTTTCAAATTTGAAAAATAGAAACCTTCAATGAGAAAAAAACGGTACTCCAAAGGCAAAGAGTCCTGCAAAGGATTGAAGTTTATAACTTGAATTCTCTCTATGTTCTAAAAGACTGATATGAATGACAATCA